AATGGGGATGATGACAGGGTATGAAAATTAAAAATATAATTAGTCCGTAACTTAGGTAATAAAAAAATATTAGACACGTATTTTTTTATTTTGTTGTATAATAAAACAATACTTAGATAAAACGAATCAAAGTTTAGGAGTGGGGGCTAAAACGTCATTTCTTAGTATAAAATGTACTGAGAAGTGACGTCACGCGACATTTCAAATCAATATATCTTCGAAACTATTCGTTTCCGTAAGAAAATAAAAAATACGTGTCTAATGTTTTTAAATAATCTACCAGACGGACATTAAAATAAAAATTAGTCGTCTACCCTATTGTCTACCCCATGCGAAGCCGGGACGGGCTGCTAATACAATATAAACTAATTATTTTCCCAGTTGTTAGTGTACAATAATAACTTTCATCATATTTGTTTATATATTATTATGTTATCAAATTATAAAAATAACAATTGGGTAAATGCCAGAGTAAGAAAATTAAAAATCTAATTAGTCCGTCAGTTAGATAATGAAAAAATATTAGACACGTATTTTCTTATTTTCTCGTATAAAGCTACAATACTTAAATAAAATGGCGTTAAGTTTAGGTTTAGGTCGTTACGTCACAACGTGCTGTAAAATGTAGCACGCTGTGACGTCACACGATATTTCAAATCAATATATCGTCGAAAGTATTTAATTTTGTGAGAAAAGAAAAAATACGTGTCTAATGTTTTGAAATAATCTACCATTATAATATATAATTTCTCGTTCTTCGTTCTACTGACCTGATCCTCGTTCATTATGGCCTCGGATACTTTGAGCCACAGCTTGGCGGACTCGAATTCCTGCTGCTTATCCAAGTTCATCAAGAAGCGAGGTAGTCTCTGTTCTTTGAGTAACGATACGTCGAATAGGTTCGATTCCTCCTGTAGGTCATATATTAAAGGATATTAGTATGCTGAATAAGAAGGTGTCGAGTTCGACCCAAAAATTTTTGATTGAGATTAGTATTGTGGCGACACACATGTCAGACGTCAAATGACGTCACAAAATCCTACATCGCACATGCGAAGTTTACAATCAAACTAACTCAGATAGAAAATCACAACGAACAACTGTTGGGCAGAAATCCCGCCACGCCAAGCACGAACACCTCTCCTTTTTTTTATTCTTTGGCAACCGAGTCTCCAATACGATGTTGTCGACTATACTGCCAGTGTCGAGTAACACCTCGCATTATTAATCATATTCAATACTTTTTTTCGAACTGTCATAAACGACAGTTTTCTATGAATTTTGTACGAGATTGTGTATTGTGACGTCACGATTTTCAGTGTCAAACAGCATAGTTATTTCTTAATAAAATGCTGGAAATGTACTAAAATTAGGTTGGTCATAAAATCAATGAATGAATGCGTGATTGACCAATGCCTATCTTCAGGATTGGACGTCTTCGCGCTAGTGGTGATAATGATAGCTTAGGGAACAGAGAGTAAAGGTCCCTAAAATCAGAAAAGGAGGATCCTCCGACCAGCCCAGGTGTGGTCTTGTGCGCTTTCTGCCCTACAGTTGTTCGTTGATATTTTCTATCCGTGTTAATTCGCATGTAAACTTCGCATGTACGATGTAGGATTCTTGTGACGTCGTCCGTTGATTTGTTTTCATCTATGTGCGTGAGCTGTCATTTGACATGTGTCGCCACAATATATAATAATATACGTAATGTAGTACAACTCACCCCAGTTCTCTTGTCCTTAATATCAATCTTGCCGTCCCAGTATCCCTCCAGCACAGCCACGGTCTCCTTACCGCGTTTGATTCGACCCTGTATCGCGTTCGTTTGGTCCGCGCCGCCTAGGAATGACTGTAAACACAAAATAGTTAAATAAATAAAACAACAGTTATTGCAATATTAAAAGTGAAGGTTAGCATGGTGGCTGGACAACCAAGGTGCAGCGGGTTCGATTCCCGCACGGAGCAACTCTTTGTGTGATCCACAGATTGTTGTTCCGTGTGTGTGTGTGTGATGTGTATGTGAACTTGTATGTTTGTGAACGTACACACGACACGGGAGACAACCCTAGTGTGGGGCAATGTGTACAAAAGATACCGCCGCGGTCAGCTATAGCCAACAAAGTAAATGTATTTAAAAATCATGTTTTTTGTCGGCTTTGGTCAGCTGTGACGGATTACGCCATATTTTGTTTGTCGGCTATAGCCGTCCGTGGCGTTCAAAAGGTTAAAAAAAAGCTTGAAAAAATTAATAAATTATTCAACAAGAAATAGAATAACCTTCGTGAGATATTATGTTAATTTAATTATTGTAATATACTGAGATGAATGTCTTGGTGGATTCTCAGGGGCGTGAATAAAGTTCGAAACACGAATGACTGTAAACTGTATATATTGGAATAAACTTTAAACTATTTACAAAGTTGCACAATAATACGATGGGGAAAAATCAAATATTTCGCGGTACAAATACGGAGCGCGTGCGTCACGGCTCCGGCGCGGGACGCGTTGTTCTGTTGCGTCCTCGCAAGCGTCGAGCGGTCAGTGGCGGGGGGAGCAGGGGAAGAAGAATAGTGAGGTGGCCGTTATGCCACTAGAGTTGCGCGCGTGCGTCCGACACAAACCTAAATCGGTTTATCGCGTTACATTATTTATTAGAGGTATATTGTTAAATTTTCCGTAATACACATGAATATGAGGTCCTGTAATGGCATGAAACTAGTCAAGCTCCTCATTATTAGTCATTCAATACGTTGATATGTCGTACCGAACATTTGTTCATACAAAAGTAGTCTCTAAACATTGGAAATAAGGTCTATAATGGAGATAGAGGAGAGCGGTCACCGGTGACTGTTTTTTTTTTAAACGTTGGCATACACTTTAAGTGAATGATAATCAATAAAAGTTATACTCACTCTAAGTTTAAATTCGACGTCCGCATGGTACCCAGTTTCCGCGCACATTACGTGTACCTGAAAGACGAAAACAAAATATTTAACCTCCTTAAAATGTATGTAGGTATGTTTGTGCGCAATTTTCTCGCGATTGGCTGAATCGATTTAGATGTATCATCAACAGCCGGAAGACGTCCACTGCTGGACAAAGGCCTCGCCCTTGGCCCTCCACGTCGATCGACAACTCGCCACCCGCATCCACTGGCTCCCCGCAACTCTGGCGATGTCGTCGGTCCACCTAGCGGGAGGCGTGCCCACGCTTCGTCTTCCGGTCCGTGGTCTCCACTCAAGGACTTTCCTGACCCATCTGCCGTCAGTCCTTCGAGCGACGTGGCCTGCCCATTGCCACTTTAGTCTGCAGATTTTGCGAGCTATGTCGGTAACTCTTGTTCTTTGGCGATTTTCCATATTTCGGATTTTGTCGCGCAAAGAAACCCCGAGCATAGCTCTCTCCATCGCACGCTGAGCGACTTTGAGCTTCACGATTTTGATGACGATTTTGATGTAGTTTTCAGAAAAGTGTTTCTTCCACTTGGGAGAAAGTTATAGTACTAACCAACTACAAAAGAAGTGGGGTTTGAAGTCGGTTTTATAATTCGGAATAATAATTATTTCATACTGCCTCGTTGTCAGAGTGACAGAGAGAAATGGGTCTTGGGTTCGATTCCCGGGTCGGGCATAGTACTATTGGGTGTTTTAAAACATTCTCAGTAGTAGTACGGAGTCTGGAATTGTGCCCGGTATATGGCAATAGACTCACCCCCTATTACATGGGACTCAT